TTTTTTCAATTTTTCGATATTTTAATTTTTGATTTTCCGATTATACAGTTGTAGAGTTTTTTGATTTCTTATTTATCTGATTTTTCAATTTGTCATTTTTTGATTTTTTATTTTCTTTATTTTTAGCAAGTACTAGCCCCACCCGCCACCCATCCAGCCTTTATTTTCTTAGAAGAATAAATCATCTGCCAAAATCAGTCTTATCTTGGCAAGTACTAGCTCTCCGCCCACCCTCCCTTATTTTCTTAGAAGATATGTCATTTGCCAAAATCAGTCTCATCTTGATAAGTACTAGCCCCGCCCATCCACCCTTTATTTTCTTAGAACAGTGGGTCATCTGCCAAAATCAGTCTTATCTTGACAAGTTCTAGAACCGGCCACCCACCCTTATTTGTATACTGTAGTTATATTTAGATGTTTTATTTACAAACATAAATCTCTCGATTTTGACATGCGACTATTTTTTTGTTTGAGTAAGAATTAATTATTTAATTGTCTTCTATTTTGCATTAATTTTTACATATTTTTAGTCACAATTTTGGTAGTTATTTATTTGCTAAGCATTGTGTGATATTAATATTGGAAAAATCTTTAGCAATAATTATCGAAGAATCAAAAATTTGAACAATCGAAAAATTTTAAAAATCGGAAATTGAAAAGTTCCTAAAACTGATAAAGTAAAAAAATCGAGAAATCGAAACTTAAAAAACCGGGAAATCTAAAAATCGAAAATTCGAAAAATTTTAAAAACCGAAAAGCTTAAATGGCAAAATTAAAAAATCGAAAAATTGAAAAATAGACATATTGAAAAATCTAAAATTCAAAACACTGAATAATTCAAATATCGAAAAATCGAAAAATCTAAAATTTAAAAATCGAGAAACTGAAAAATCGAAACAGGGAAAAACTCGAAAATTGAAGATTTAAAAAACGAAAAATTGAAAATTCAAAAAGTAAAAAGTCGAGAAACCAAGAAATCCAGAACTCGAAAAGTCGAAATACTAAAAAATCGTAAAGTGAGATATCGAAAAATTGAAAAACAGAAGAAAAATTGAAATATCGAAAAATTGAAATTGAGATCTCGAGAATTCGAAAAATCAAAAGATCGAGAAATTCAGGAATCGAAAAGTCGAGAAGAGGAAAAATTGAGAGACCGAATAGGCCAAAATCGATTTAAGACTTCCGAAAAATTTAAAAATTAAAATATAGAGGAACTGAAAATTTGAGAAATCTAAATATAAAACAATCGAAAATTTGAAAAATCTGAAGTTTAAAAAACCAAAAACTGAAAATCCAGAAAATAAAAAATCGAAAAATACAGAAGTCGAAGGATCGAAATTTTGATAAATCCCAAAACGGAAAGAAATATCCAAAAATTGAGAAATTAAAACCTGGAAAATTGAGAAATCAAAAAACCAAAAAAGCAAAGTCGAAAAAACGAAAAATTGTAGAATTAAAGAACTGAAAAATCGAAACTTTGGGAAGTCTAGAAATGGCAAAATCGGAAAACTGGGAATTTAGCAACGTCAAAATTTAAAATTTAAAACATTCAACAATTAAAATATCGCAAAATGTATTTATTTCAAAATCGATAAACTGAAAAATCGGATAACTGGAGAATCGAAATATCTAAAAATTGGAAAATGGAAAAATTGAAAGACCCACAAATAAAAGATCGAAACATCGAAAAAATTAAAAACTGAAACATCGAGAAATCAAAAAATCAGATCATCGAGAAATCGAGGAGTGGAAAATCGTGAAGAAAAGTTAAAAATTGAAAAACTGATGAATCGAGAAATCACAAAATTGAAAAATCGAAAAATTTTAAAAAAGAAAAATTGGAAAATTTAAATATAGAAGAATCGAAAAATTTAACAAGAAATTGAAAATCCAAAAAGTAAAAAATCGAGAAATCAAAAAATCCAGGAGTGCCAAAATCGAAAAGTCGAAAAATCGAAATATTAAATATGCCAAAACTGAAAGAAATATCCAAAAAATTGAGAAATTAAAAAATTGGAATATTGAGAAATCGAAAAACTAAAAAAGCAAAGTCGAAAAATCGTAAACTTAAAAGATCGAAAGATTGAAAAATCAAAAGATCGAGAAATCGAAGAATCGAAAAGTCGAGAAGTCGAAAAATTGAGAAACCGAATAGGCCAAAATCGAAAAATCCAAAAATTAGAAATGGAAAAATTCATAAATCAAAACATCAAAACATCCGAATCCCGATAAAACGGGATCTTAAACAATTGAAAAATCGAAAATTTAAGACTTCCGAAAAATTTAAAAATTAAAATATAGAAGAACTGAAAAATTGAGAAATCGAAATATAAAACAATCGAAAATTCGAAAAATCTAGAGTTTAAAAAACAAAAAACCGAAAATCCAGAAAATAAAAAATCGAAAAATCCAGAAGTCGAAAAATCGAAATATTGTAAAATCCCAAAACGGAAAGAAATATCCAAAAATTGAGAATTTAAAAACTGGAAAATTGAGAAATCGAAAAATCACACGATCGAGAAATCGAGGAGTGGAAAATCGAGAAGAAAAGTTAAAAATTGAAAAACTGGTGAACTATCAAAACATCGAAACATCACAAATCACAAAATTTATAAATCGAAAAATTTTAAAAAAGAAAAATTGGAAAATCGAAGATTTAAAAATTCGGAAAATTGAAAAATTTAAATATAGAAGAAGTGAAAAATTGGTGGATCGAAGTATAAAACAGTTGAAAAATTGAAAATTTTAAAGTTTAACGAAAAATTGAAAATCCAAAAAGTAAAAAAATCGAGGAGTGCAAAAATCGAAAAGTGGAAAAATCGAAAAATTGAAAATGCTAAAACTGAAAGGCGTATCCAAAAAATTGAGAAATTAAAAAATTGGAACATTGAGAAATCGAAAAACTAAAAAGGCAAAGTCGAAAAAGCGAAAAGTTAGAAATGGAAAAATTCTTAAATCGAGAGATTGAACAATCAAAACATCGAAACATCCGAATTTCGATAAATTGAGACCTCAAACATTGAAAAATCAAAAATTTAAGGCTTTGGAAAATTGAAAAATTAAAATATAGAAGAACTGAAAAATTGACAAATCGAAAAAAGTTTAAAAAACGAAAAACTGAAAATCCAGAAAATAAAAAATCGAAAAATCCAGAAGTCGAAGAATCGAAATATTGAAAAATCCCAAAACGTAAAGAAATATCGAAAAATTGAGAAATCGAAAAACCAAAAAAGCAAAGTCGAAAAACCGAAAAATCGAAGAATTAAAAAACTGAAAATCGAAACTTTGGAAAATCAAAAATAGATTAACTGAAAAACCTGAAAAGTGACAATTTAACAACGTCGAAATTTGAAAAATTGAAACCGAAAAATAAAAAAATCGAAAAATCGAAAAATCTAAAATTTAAAACATTGAACAATTAAAATATCGCAAAATTTATTTATTTAAAAATCGCTAAACTGAAAAATCGGATAACTGGAGAATCGAAAACATCCTAAAATTGGATAGTCGAAAAATCGAAAAGCCCAAAAATAAAGAATCGAAAAAATTAAAAACTGAACCATCGAGAAATCGAGAAATCAGACGATCGAGAAATTGAGGAGTGGAAAATCGTGAAGAAAAGTTAAAAATTGAAAAATTGAAGAACTGATGAATCGAGAAATCACAAAATTGAAAAATCGAAAAATTTTAAAAAAGAAAAATTGGAAAATTTAGATATAGAAGAATTAAAAAATTTAACGAAAAATTAAAAATTCAGAAAGTAATAAAATTGAGAAACCAAAAAATTCAGGACGGCAAAAATCGAAAAATCGAAAAATCGAAAAATTGTAAATCCCAAAACTGAAAGAAGTATCCAAAAAATTGAGATATTAAAAAATTGGAAAATTGAGAAATCGAAAAACTAAAAAGGAAAAGTCGAAAAAGCGAAAAGTTAGAAATGGAAAAATTCATAAATCGAGAGATTGAACAATCAAAACATCGAAACATCCGTATCTCCATAAATCGAGATCTCAAACAATTGAAAAATCGAAAATTTAAGACTTCGGAAAATTGAAAAATTAAAATATAGAAGAACTGAAAAATTGACAAATCGAAATATAAAACAATCGAAATTTGGAACAAGTTTAAAAAACGAAAAACTGAAAATCCAGAAAATAAAAAATCGAAAAATCCAGAAGTCGAAGAATCGAAATATTGAAAAATCACAAAACGGAAAGAAATATCTAAAAACTGAAAAATTAAAAACTGGAAAATTGAGAAATCGAAAAACAAAAAATAGCAAAGTCGAGAAAACGATAAATCGAAGAATTAAAGAACTGAAAAATCGAAACTTTGAGAAGATCAAAAATAGATTAATTGAGAAATTGGAAAACTAACAATTTAGCAACGTCAAAATTTGAAAAATTGAAAAATAGAAATATTGAAGAACTGAAAAATCAAAAACTTGAGAAATCGAAAAATCTAAAATAGCAAAGTCGAAAAATCGTAAGCTTAAAATATCGAAAGATTGAAAAATCAAACATCTGAAAAATCTAAAAATTGAAGAAGTACGATTGTGAAAAATTAAAACTTTGGGAAGTCGAGAAATGGGAAAACTGAAAATTTAGAAACGTCAAAATGACCGTTTTACCATTCGATAATACAATTTGAAATGTAAATTTTGTCATTTGGGAATATTTTGCATTAAATCGTTAAAATGTTCAAGAACTTTGTTCACTTATTCGTTACAAAGTTCGACCACATTTTTTTTTAATTTATTATTTTTTTTTTGTGTTATATTGATGGCTGGAGAAAAAATAGTATGTTTCACTCGGATTAAAAGAGGGTTTTTTGACTCGCAAAATTTTGCATAGATTGATATATTGTAATATAGACTTTGGTATCTGTTGTATTTTGTCTTGTTTCTATAGTGAGTTTTAAATTAGTATTTACGAACGATTTTACACATTTCACACAAAACATATTACTTAATTAAGAATAATAACTGCAGGTACTATTACATAAAAAATTCGGAGACCGATGTATAGCGACCACCACCTTAAGTATTTAAGTACTTTAATAAATTCCCAGTACGTATTTTAGTCGCAACCATCGTAATAAATTTCCGTTTCTAAATTGCCAAATACATTTTGAAGAACTCGTTCCAAATACGGATTTTTCCCCATATTCATTTTATCTACGTCGTCAAAAATTCCATCTTTTAACTCTTTCAGCACTTTTCGTGTATGCTCGAAGCTTCCAAAACTCTCCAGTATGTCCACAAAGAGTTTCTTACTTTCTACATCCAGTGGCCTTTTCTTCAACATATCTAAGAGTCCAAATTAAGAAAATGAAACACGACAAGAAATCCATGAAAATATATTTTAATAAAGGATACCCAGAAGACGATGATCATCCGGATGACTTTGAACACCGTGAATTATAGGGTAGCTGAATTTTCCTTCGTCTAGGTCATCACAGAAGACGCGGACCGCTGCGTACTAAAAATTACACATCGTCATGAGTAACTAGAGCATGAATTTAAAAAATCACACAGTGTGAAGCATTTTTCGTGGCTGTAAATGGCTGCTCACCTTCGGATTCTCGTTTTTAGCACATAGGTTTAATATCTGGACTGCCCATATTAAGGTCTCGGTGGATTCTGAAACAGGAGTTTGGAGTTAACAGTTAATAACTACGTGGAAAATAGTAACATTTTGAACTTACTGTTGTGCATTATTACTCTGAAATCATCAAATGTAGGACATTTTTCGGTGTTTCTGTAGTGTATTTCCAGTCCTTGTCCAGTACAAAATTTAATACCCAACTTAATAAGATCATCGAGAGTGTCGTCCTAAATAAAAAACATTCACAAATAATAATTATCTTTTTTGAAATAAATGACAACATTACCTTACTATCGCCTCCACAGCAAAGTAAATTTTGAAGTAATAAAATTCCCCTGTATATTGTGGCGTGCACGCTTAATGCAATTCCATAAACTAGATGAGCTGCAGGAATTCCTCTGCGAAGTATTGTTTCGTCCAAAATATCGTCCGATCTATGAAAATAAGACAAAAATATAAAAAAAACTTATAACTAAAATGATAAGCTCACACAACAAAAAGTTCCTGGAATCCATCTCCAATTTCGATAAACGTCTTCCGTGCATCTTTAGGACACCTAATCCAAAAATTGAAAGAGCGGACGAACTGTTTCGAAATGTTGCGATTTTCTGACCCTGCTTGGAGACTGTGTAAAATAGGCCGTGCTAAAATCTGTAAGAAAGCTAGTTAAAAAACAGACGCTTTTCAGTGATTACTTCTTCCTCGTCGTTTGCTGTCATTTTCAAACTTGTGGTTTATGAATCCGTCTTGATTTTTGGCCCTTATTATGGCTCAATTGGTTTGAAGGACTCTGCGCTCTATTTTCGCCTTTAGCTATTTATACGGAAGTGCCCCTCCAAACAGATTTTTCCAAATTTGTATATCAGGCGCCGGTCTATTTTTGGGGTCATAAATCACGCTTCTTTAACTTGTAAAATAGTTTATCTATGACCGTTTAGAGTTTCGTTTTTAACATCTCTCATTTCATAAATTACACAGGCCTGCGATGGTTTTCCCCCAACAAAATCAAGTAGTAATTTCGGTAGGTTTTAGATACTCATGTATAAAAAAAATTGCAAAAATTTCTATCACGTACAGTTTCTGCAAAAAATATTTTTTTCAGTTTTGTTCTTAGTACTATAAAAATTAACTTCTAGATTTTGTGGTCAGAATATATATGGATAATGGTGTTGATATTTCATTTCGTGTTCAGCTTAGTAAGAGTTATTTGTGTTCACTATGCTCTTACTACCCTGAATTTAAACAAAAATTACTAATGTCTTCTCGGAAATGGGTTCATTTTTCAGATAACTTCTGTTACACTTGTAGAACTTATTTAATCAAAAAACAACATCAAATAATTTCTGAATTTATCGAACAACTATGCGAAAGTTATTTTAAAGTTAATATAAAAAAACCAAGACAAAAAATGGGTGCCTCATAAAATGTGTTCATGCACCTCGCAAATGGTCAAAAGGAAAAAAAAATCTTTAAGTTTGCTGACACCAATGATTTGAATGGAGCCACAAAATCATACAGACGATTGTTACTTTTGCTGTTCAAATATAAAAAGATATAATGCGAAAAATGTAACAGCAATAACATATTTTATCGTGAATATAAGAAAAAACGCTTAAATCATAGCTTTGAAGAAAGAAAAAAAGAAGCTTCTTGATTTATTTGTTTTTTTAATTTTTGTTTATAACTAATTTAGTTCATTTAATAAATAAACATTCAATTTTATATTCTTTATATTTTATTTTTTCATAAAAATTATCTGAAAAACTATGAATATTTAGGCCTACATAAAAATAAATCTCGATGAGCTACAAAAAAACTAGAGTTATATTTGAATTCGGCATACATAAATATATTAAAAAAAAACAATATTATTTAAAAGGGAAATTAAAAGTTATATTTCGCAGGCCTGTGTTATCATAGTCCTAAATGATATTCGTGCATTTATGAAATTTAACGCGATAATTTCGCTCAAATTTTGAAGCTTTTTTTAGCAAAATGTCCAAATTATTTAAATTAAATGCAAAGTTAAACTTTTTGTTGTTTTGATGGGTAGAGATAAATTACAAGACTGACAAGGACAGTATTAATAGTACCCAAAATGCGTTGTATTTGAACCACGTTTTTTAAAGCCTGTATTAATTTTAATAATTATTAAAAACAATTTATATTTTATTTATTTTATCATTATTACATTACAAAAAAAATATCCGCAAAATCTATACTTATATTATAAAGCTGAAGAGTTTGTTTGGTTGAACGTGCTAATCTCAGAAACTACTGGTTCGAATTCAAAAAATCTTTTTGTTTTGGATAGTCCATTTATCGTATCTACATATGGGCTATATAACATCACGCTACGATCAATAGGATGTGTTCCTTATTGTCAGGACAAGGTTTGTATATAAGAAATTTACAAAAAATAAGACAGCTAAAAAATAAAAAAATCCTAAAAATTTTGTATGGGAATCGCCACTTCGAATTAATTTCAATAGTTGGCGTTTCTGACGGGCCTGTCGTCTAACTGACGTGTCATACAAAACTATTTCTTCCGTGCGACTGTGAAAAGTATATTGCATCTCAAATCGTTCTTTCTTTTTCGTAAAAAAAACGTCGTTTATTTTAAGAAAAGTCTTTGTTAAAGTGAATTTGGTTACACATTGCGAAAGTTTCTTATTAATTTTGATCTGTCATTCTATTTACCTATATTCACTTTGTTGGTTTCGACAAAACCTCAAACTTTACCGTACTGTTGCAAAATTAAAACCCAAGCAAATGCACCGTGAAAACAAAGCATTTGCACCACTGGAGCTAAATTGGCAAGACCCAAGTTAAGTTAGTAACACATACAATATACAGTACAAAATGCTTCAATTACAAAAGTTACAACATACAAATTACTCCACGTTTGCCAACAAAGAGCGATGACTGTGCTCGCTCGTTGCTGTTGCCCAGCAAGAACCAAACAATACGAGGAGGTCTGGAGTGCGTCTTGCCATTAAAAGAGAGGGCTAGGGTTTAATAGCATGGGTGACGGACACCGTATTTTGTAAATTTGGACGCCGTACTTTAAAAATGATGCATACGGTATTTTGTGAATTATGAACGCAGTACTTTGTATATTCTAAAGCCGCACTTTATTAGTGCTGAATGCATGTTATTAACGACAAACTTCAAAAAAACTCGGCGATTTTCGGAAAAATATCCACTTTCCTTCGTGTTCACAGCACCTAACACAAAGCATTTTTGCTAATATTTATTAACAAAAAATTAGAAATTCGCGAACACGTGTTACTTTTAACCCAAAACGGAGACCAGTGTTGCTGCTACCAGACCGGAATCAAAACTGAACAGAAAGGATCGAAAATGTGACCTTTTATCAAGTAGCTCACGTGACAGTGACATCATCGTACGTCACGATGAGATTGCAAAAATTATTTTTCATATTTTAGATCAGAAATTGTACATTTTCGGGGTTAATTTAACAATGTATAAACAAACTAATTTGTTTTTGCTAACCTCGTGTTCTTAGGGAAATGGATTTCGGTTTAATTATCATAAATTGATAGTTATCATATTTAAACATTTGTATTAATTATGTTTAAATTTTATTTAAATATATCGCGAAAATGTTTAGCTTTGACCCACAAACTGCAATCGTTTCGAACATTTTTTCAAAATTTAAACATTGTCGAATAAACGAATCATGGAATCCGATAAATTAAAACTGAAGTCTTACTTACCTTGTTTTCGGTCCTTTTCGGAAAAATATCCATTTTCGTTCGTGTTGACAGCACTAACACAACATATTCTCCGTAATATGTATTAATAATAAACTAGAAATTCGCTAAAACGCTCCACTTTTACGCCAAAATGAAGCGACGATCTTGCCGCCACCAAACAGAAATTAATACTGAACACAAAGGACCGCGAAACGTGACCTTCGGACAGGTAGCTCAGGTGACAGTGACGTCTTCGTACGTCACGATGAGATTGCAAACATTATTTTTCATATTTTGGCCGGGAAAATGCACATTTTCGGGGATAATTTAACAATGTTTAAACAAATTGATTTGTTTTTAATAATTGCGGGCTTTTAGGACGAGTTTCGGTTTAATTATCATATATATTTATGCTTATCATATTTAAACATTATAAGTGATATTAATTATGTTTAAAATTTATTAATTTATATCATGCAAATGTATAGCTTTGATCAACCGACTTCAATCGTTTTGAAAATTTTCCCAAAATTTAAACATTGTCGAGTGAACGAATCACGGAATCCGATAAATTAAAACTAAAGTCGTAAGAAAATTAACTTTTATTTATGCATAAATTGTGCAGTGCGTTCTTTCTAACGCTGGCCATAGAGATTCCCATCTCAAGGTGTCTACCCATACTAACTTATATTTTGGTGACTCGATTTTGCCTTGATGGTTGAACACTGTCACTGTTTTCCTTTTTTGTTGTATCGAGATGCTACTTGAGCATCAACTGTTACTTATTTGCATCATCTAGAAAAACTAGAAATATTTTGATTTGATATTCGAGTAGATACTTCGTATTTCGAGTGTGAGCAATAACTGAGTTTTATTTATATACAACCATTGTCAAAAAATTGATCGAACGTTGTTTCGACAAAACTTCCTTCGCACCAAAAGTATAATGAAACATATTCAGCATTTTCGAGTTGAGTCTTTTCTTCACACAATTTTGTGATGACCTAATCAACATTTACGATCAACACGTATACCACCTTGGATTGGTGCAGTGTAATACTAAAAATAACTGTATTGTATTCCCAAAATTATCTGCGAAAATCGAGTTCGCCGTTCCATCAATTTTTTGGGGGGAATAAATAAATATTCTTAACAATTTACCATGCTTACAATCACTTTAAAACGTCTGCAAGATCTCAAAGTAGTCATTTCTGCAACTCTTGTGTTATTCTCTAACATAAATTGACTGATCCATAGATTTTTTCGAGTCACTGTAAAAGCAAATCTAAAAAATATGAATGCAATGATAAATTACGAAAATATACTGATGATATTTTGCACATTTTAGATAGAATTTATTCGACAAAATCTTGAGATGACGTCATCAAGTTTTTGCGCTTGATAAACAGATATATTTTGATTAAAAACGTACCATGTCAAACAGTAACTTCCAAACATCTGCAATATTTCAAAATTCAGTTTTGCAATTCTTGATTCAATCAATAAAATAAATTGACTCAGTGATTAATTTTTCTGAGACACTGCCTATAAACAAAACTAATAATAATAATAATAATATTAATAATAGGACTTTATTAAATAATAATAGGCGAAGTCTAGCCATAGGCTATTCCACTTAACCTTAGATTTACAAGAAAATAAAACTAACCAAACAGTTTGTACAGAAAAACGGATTAAATATCTAGACAGGAGTCAGCTAAGTAATGATCAAATTAAACAAATTAAACTAATTAAATCTAAATTAAATTAAATAATCCATAATTAGAAACTAAATTTATACAAATAATAATAATAATAATTAGAGAGCGGAAAATATGCAGCAAAATTTTGGGAAATATGATCATATGATATGCATCAAATTTATGCAAATATGCAGTAACTTTCTTAATATATGCAGAGATATGCAGTTGCATATGCTCCAAAAATAAAAAAAAGGCGTAATAACCGAACTAAATTTATTTATAAATTACAAAAACAGGGTTCCCGAGCTTACGTTTCATTACAAAAAATACATAAATCACATTGCAAAGTGTTTAATTACATCTCATTAACACATAAATCACATTTTTAAGGATAATATTCTTATACTAAAAAATAAATATAAACAGAACTAATTAAAAAATGGTAGTAATCGACTATTTAATTACTATTTTGATAACAATATATTTTTAAATATTTTTCGAAATATACTAACAAAACATTTTTCGGGTGATTCTAAAGTATGTATATGTTAATAGAAAAACTGCGTACTACGTCCACAGATGTAAAAATACTTACCGGTTTAGAGCAGGCGAGAAAAAACACAGTCGACATTTTGACACACCTGGATCGCTTTAAATGCTTTCAATGCAAACTCACGATGAAAAATAATAGGGTAACGTCTCTTCGACCACCATAAAACATATCATTAATACACTTAAGTAACGAACAAAAATATTGGGAATGAACGCTATTTCCAAGAGTAATTAGGGCCCGATTTTACCTCCAAACTATCATAAAACCCAAAATTTTCCTAGTTATTTGAAGCTCAGGACAATATTTGCAATAGAAAGATTCAATATAATTTCGTCTTTCTAGACAAATGCCGATAGAATGACAATAATTTTTTTTTTCAAATTAGCACAAAAATTGATAAAAATGCAAAATATGCACCTGTTACGCGAAATATGCAGCAGAAGGTAAAAATATGCAAATATGCAATTTTTTTGTAGCTGTATTCTTTTTTAATTAGCATGATTCGTTCACATATTAAATACGAAGACTTATATGCAAAAAATAACGGATATGCAAATTTCATAAAATCCGCTCTCTAATAATAATAATAACATAAAGTTAACAACAAGCAAGAGAACCACAATAATAAACTTAAACCTAAGTATTAATCAAGCATTTTTTAATTTTTTTCCTAAAACAATTGATGGAAGAACTTGAATTAAACTCTAATAAAAATTTATTGTAAACTTTGATAATATTGTACGTGAAAGATCTCTGAAAGATAGTTGTATAATGCTTTGGCATTGACAGTTCTTTAAGATTCCTTAATGGAAGACTTGAGTTTAACATACTTTTTCTTGTATGAAATTTACAACGCAATTACGGCGGAGAGTTAGAGGAAAATAACTTGAAAGCAAAGATAGATAGGTGATACTGAAACAATTTGTCAGTTTTCATCCAACCAAGCTCACAGATTTTCTGAGACACATGATCAAATTTCCTCAAACCAAAAATGAAACGACAACAATTATTTTGGATTTTTTGAAGACGGTATTTTTCAATACTGTCAAGACATGGGTAATATATTACTAGGCAATAATTTATATATGACAAGACAAGAGACTCACATAATTTCTTCCTCAATTTAAAATTGAGTAAAAGGTAATTTGAATAAAGAAGTTTCAATGCTACATAAGATTTTTTAATAATGTTAGAAAATGGGTCTTAAAACGAAAATCGTCATCAATCACCAATCCCAAATTTCTTACAGTATGTAAAACTGGTAGTTTTATGTTAGCAAATTTAACATTAATATTGTCAAAAAGAACATTTTAAAATTTTCGGGGAGCGAAGCAAATAACTTTGCATTTATTTATATTCAGTTGGAGGTTAATATCAGATGAAACATTTGCTATATTTTGTAAGTCATTATTTATATGGTTAGATGCTATATCAACTTCGTTAGGTAGGAAATGATGCTGCATTTGGGTGTCATCTGCAAAGGCTCTCTTTTTAGATACTGAAGGTATCTGCAACAATTGGGAAGTATATATAGTAAAAAGAATTGGGCCTAAGACCGAGCCCTGCGGTACGCCTGATGTTATTAAGCCAATTTTAGATTTACCAGAGTCGGTTACAACTTGTTGATGTCGATTTTGTAAATATGATTTAAAAAAAGAAACAGAAATTTGATCGAACCCATAATATTCCAGTTTTGTGTAGATGAGGTGGTGGTCCAAAGTATCAAAAGCTTTTGAATAATCCAAAAGAGTTACAATACTTGCGTGGTTTCTGTCAAGTTCAATCAGGCAATCATCGATAACAGAAGCTAGAGCTGTCGTTGTGCTATAGCCCTTGCGAAAACCAGATTGATCTTCAGATAATATCTCTTCTTTTACTATAAAATTAAAGATTTGATTATAGATACATTTTTCTAAGACTTTAGATAATGTTGGAAGAATACTTATTGGTCTTAGGTCTTCTGGAGAGTTTACCTCGTCGATTTTGGGAATAGGATGAATTAAAGCCACTTTCCATAATTCTGGAAAGTATCCAGTCTCCAGACAGCAATTAATAATGTGAGTAATTGGCTGAACTATATTAGGACAACATAATTTAATCATGTAAGCAGAGATACCATCAATACCCATAGCATTAGATTTCAAGCTATTTATGATTTGAAATACTTCCTCCTCAGTGGCCAATGAAAATTTAAAGTTACTATTTGGTTTATATTTGATACCTTTTATGTTATTAGCAGCTTCAACACAGTTTTGGGGAGGAGTGAATACTGACAAAAAATATTCATGGAATATGAATGGAATGATAAGTCACAAGTATAGTCTCATCCTATTTTGGACATTTTAGATAGGATTCATTTGGCAAAATTTTGGGCTGACGTCATCAATTTTTTTGGAGGGGATAAGTCAATTATTTTGAATAAATTTTATTATGCTTATCATATGTTTAAAACATCTGCAAGATTTCAAAGCATTCGGTTTTGCAGATTCAAAATTAAATTGTAGGTGAAACGAAGTTCACGGGGTCAGCTAGTGACATATAAAATTATTTCTTTAGTCGCAGCCATCAAAATAAATTTCGTTGTCCAAATTACTAAAGACATCTTGAAAAATTCGTTCGATGAGTGGATTTTTTTCCATTTTCTTTCTATCCATATCAGCGCGAATTTCCTTTTTCAGATCTTCGAGAGCGTTTCGAGTGTGCTCGAAACTTCCAAAACCTTCCATTATGTCTACAAAAAGTTTCTTATTTTCCGTATCCAGTGGTCTTTTTTTCAACAGATCTAACAATAAGATGGAGAATTAAGATCATCGTATGTATTTTGTATGAAGGATACCTAAAAGGCGACGGTCGTTGGGATGACTGCGAATGGCATGTATTACGGGGTAGCTAAATTTTCCCTCATCTAGATCATCGCAAAAAACGCGAACAGTTGCGTACTGGAAAACTGGTTAAAAAATTGAAAATTGTCAACAATTGTGTTACCTTAGTGTTGTGCAAGTTTATATAGTCGTTGTAAATCTGAAGAAAATAACATAATTTATCAACAACGCCAAAATTAAATTCAATTGTCTCTTTTTTGGCGAGCAATTTTAACAACTGGATTCCCCACATCACAGGATGGGAACATTCTGAAACAAAAATTGATAAGTATCTATTGTCATTTTATAAAAAAACAAAAAATATTTTTTATTTAAATCTAATAGTTTTTGTTTTTAACTCTATGCGGATTCAAAAACAACAAGTACAAGAGTATGTTACTGCAAATTTTGTAAAGGAAAAACTCATTTGAAACAAACGCTTAGCACGCTTCTACTTTACCATTGGATTTATATGTATAAAAGTGCAAAAAAAATCTTGTGGTCGTCATAATTGTAATAGAAATTTGAACTTACTGCCTCGAACTATAGTTCTGTAATCATCAAAGGTAGGACATTTTTGGATGTCTCTAAAGTATATTTCTAGTCCTTGTCCAGTGAAGGACTGAATACCCATATGAATAAAATGATCAACGGCGACATGCTAAATGAGAACATTCATACACAACACAAAGAAAAAAAAACACTTTTTACCTTCATCTTTTCTAAATAAGGTGTTAGAATATGAGACAATTTACAAGCCATATATACTACAGCTTGCACTGTCAGCGGAACTCCATAAACCTCGTGAGCTGAAGAAATTCCCCTACGAAGCTTAGTTTCGTCTACAAGGTCATCTACCACAATAAAAATATCGTACGCTGTATTTGAAAAATCAGCAACAATTTTTTGTGCGTCTTTGGGGCACTTGATCCAAAAATTATAGGAATGGGTGACTCGTTTCCAGAGATTCCGATTCTCTGAGCCAGGCTGTGAAACATGTATGATGGGTCGTGATAATATCTACAAGGTGTAGTCTGTTAATAGGGCACCAGGACTCATTTTGTGGGTGTGGATTACCTCTTCGTCCTGGGATTGGTGGTCAGACTTCGTTGCCATCTTAAGGAATACTGGTCTGTTTTCGTTTAAATCGCAAAATTTATATGTATGTATACCGTGCTGATGATTGTAAGTTAAATTAGAACAAGTTATAAACAGGGAATGAATCCAATTAAATAAAATATTATGGATTAATTTTTATACATACAGGGTCGCTAGAATGTATGGACACGACTAAATATCTTTAGAACCAATTTTACAAATCAACTGAAATTAGATACAGGGGTACAAGAAGTTGTGCACTGTCATATAATTAATGTATTTTTGAATAGAGCTTTTTTCTGAATTCAGTGATATCTTATTAGCAGTGAAATATGTTTTGCTGGTTGCAGTTAAAGTTTGTAAGGCTCGGCATTACTTATGGAACATCCTGTATAGTAGTGTCATTTAAAAAAAATCAAGTTGGCCTTGCATCTCGAAAATAAACGACGAATAATTGGACCACGACTTCTTGGACTCCTATACCTAATTTCAGTTGATTTGAAATAACCATTTCTGCACATTCTAGCGAACCAGTTATTTTACTGACCATGGAGCTGTCTGATTTTTGCAATTTCATATTTATTTTTAATATATTAATATACAATTTATAGAATCGGATTAATACGTCAATTTTCCAGTTATTTTGCATATATTATTTAAAGTAATATGGAAAATAAACACATAATTATTTGATGTAATGGTTATAACTGTAACAGGCAATGAATCGATGCTATTTCTACCTCTTTAATTTTACTGTATGATTAAAATTAACTATTTACGTACTTCGTTGTTTACATTGCAATTACTTCGAAACTATGTGAAACAAGAAGCCTTGGGTAGTAGCATTTATAAAAATAAGCATTTGTTTTTATAGGTAAGGTTAATCGTATTTGCTAAATAACTAACTATTAACTGTGTTATCCTGCACAATTTTCTGCAACACGTCAGCTCCAAAACTACCGAACTGATTGCTTCTGCAAGTAAAAAAGCACTACAGTCGTAGGTTTTACACAATAATTTTTCTACACCTGTACGTAAAAAATGTTAAGCTCGTTAGAAATATCTTATTTATTTATTATAATTAACGATAATTTAAATTTTTGTTACGTACTGTATTTTAAATTCGTTTTTTAGAAGGATATAGATAGACTTCTAACACAAGTAACTAAATACTTTAATAAATCCCCAGGAAGTATATTTTAGTCACAACCATCGTAATAAATTTCCGTTTCGAAATTATCAAATATATTTTGAAGAACTCGTTCCAAATATGGATTTTTCCCCATATTCATTTTATCTACGTCGGCGAAAATTCCATCTTTCAAGTCTTCCAGTACTTTTCGTGTATACTTGAAGCTTCCAAAACTCTCCAGTATGTCCACAAAGAGTTTCTTACTTTCTATATCCAGTGGTCTTTTTTTCAACAGATCTAATAATAAGTTGGAAAATTGAGAAAATAACATGTTAGGACGAAATATTTTATGTAAAGTATACCCAGAAGGCGATGATCTTCCGGGTGACTTTGAATACCATGAATTATGGGATAACTGAATTTTCCTTCGTCTAGATCATCACAGAAGACACGAACAGCAGCATACTAAAAAATATGACCATTTTTGTTTTTAATAAAAGTTGACATTATGTTTCCCTTTTTTTTTAATAAAAAATCTAAATGTGTAATGTATGTATTATATGAAGTATTTTCAGAAGCTGTAACTGGTTTGCTCACCTTAGGATTGTGCAAATTTATGTAGTCGTCATATATCTGAAGAAATTGACCCATTTTATCACAAAGGTCTGGATTAAACTCTATTTTGACATTCTTGGCACATAGTTTCAACAACTGGGTTCCCCATATAAAGGCATGGGCAGATTCTACAACAGGGATCTTTGGTACATTTATTTTTGGATGTAAGTCCTTTGTTCTTTGGACAAATTTGTATCGTATTAAAGGATTGACAGTAAACACACTTTTTAAATTCATACTTTCGAAAATGACATCAATTTTACATTTTTAAATGGAACACCCAGTATATTTTTTATAAATGAGGGGAATAATTGATAAAACAGTTATTCAGTAAATTTTGTCAAAAATTAATATTTTTTTGTGAAAATCTGGTGGCCTGAACTTAATATGTGAATATTCGGAATGTTTTTTTTTTCATTACGAAATATATTTAAATATACAACCAACGGGAAAAATACTTTTCGAAAAATGGAAAAACTGGAAAATCGAAATATCGAGAGATCGAACAATTGAGAGGTGAAACATCGGAATGTCGATAAAGCGAGAAATTGGGAAATAAAAAAATTGAAAAATTGGGAATTTGAAAAACTGAAAAATCGACGAAACAAAAATTTTCAAAATCAAAAAATTGAAAACCAAACAAACGAAAAATCATGAATGTCCGGAAATTTAAAACTTCCCAAAATCCAAAATGAAATGTCATAAAAATGAAAAATCGAAAACTTGAAAATACGAGAAATCGAAAAATCGAAAAGTCGAAAAATATATTTAAATCGAATAACCGAGGTGCCAATAAATGGAAACATCAAAAAATCGTAAAATCGAAAAATTGAAAAATTTAAAAAATTGGAAATTTAAAAATTTGTGAATTTCAAAAATTGACAACTCGAGGAATTGAAAAATTAAAAAATCGAGAAATCGAGAAATCGAGAAATCGAAAAATCTGGAATTTTAAAAACTGAAAAATTAAAATGTCGAAAAATTGAAAAACTAGGGCAATCCTATATCAATACAATGAAAAAAAAATTGGTCTAAAGAGTTTAGACAGTACTTCCCTCGCTGTCGGAAACTTGACGACTGCATGCCTATTGTGTTTTTTTTCTCATTACATTTTTGTAGTGGGAATTTAAAAAAAAATTGCGATGACGTCATCAACATTTTTGCAAGGACACGTATATCAGTTGGGATAGATGTAGTGTAATACTAAGAATAAAATTATTATATTCTCAAATTTTCGGGAAAATGAATTGGGTCGTTTGAATATTGATTTGTAATAATCAATAAAATAACGAAACAATTTACTCACGTATACCTACGTATCAGAGGCAACTGAAAATCGTGTATGTATAAACATTGTTAATTTAAGATGACAGGCGTAACAGCACACGTGAGAGCCAAACACAGAAACTGTAAACAAAACGACCGTCGGTTTTATTGCTTCGACTTCCGCTTATTATATAAAACATTGGGTTTTATTTTAATTCTTGACGGTGAAATTCACAATTGGTTGATTATAAACATGTCTATTTCACATTCGCGGAATCAAGTGAACGCATAAAACAAATGCAGGTCTGTAATGTTAAAGTCGATGTAAATAAGCGTGCTACCCTTATGTTTCAACCGAGTTTTTCCTTTAACAAATTTTGTGTCTACCAAATTGGGTTGGTTGGGGTGTAATACTAATAATAAGTGTTGCCTTTAATTTAATCAATAAAATAAATTGACTTCATTAATTTTTTTGAACCACCTCTTAAGAAAATCTAAAAAATATGAATGGAATGATAAATCACAAGTACAAACTCATCATATTTTTTGCATTTTAGATAGGATTTATTCAGCAAAATTTAAGGGTGACGTCATCAATTTTTTTAGGAGGGATGAACAAATACATTTTGAACAAAAGTTTACCATGCTTATAATAACTTTAAAATATTCCCAAGATTTCAAAGCATTCGGTTTTGTAATTCCTGATTAAATCGATAAAATAAATTCACGCCTTCATTAATTTTTTTGAGTCACCCTGCATATGCAAATCCAAAAATATGAATGGAATGATAAATCACAAGTACAGACTCATCATATTTTGTACATTTTAGATACGATTTATTCGGAAAACTTTTGAGCTGACGTCATCAGTTTTTTGTAGAAGATAACCAAATATATTTTGACTAAAAATTTATTATGCTCTTTATAACCTTAAAACATCTGCAAGATTTCAAAGCATTCGGTTTTGTAGTTCCTGATTAAATCAATAAAATAAATTTACGCATTCATTAATTTTTTTGAGTCACTCTGTATATGCAAATCCAAAAAATATGAATGGAGTGATAAATGACAAGTACAGGCTCATCATATTTTGTACATTTTAGATATGATTTATTCGGCAAACTTTCGAGCTGACGTCATCAAGTTTTTGGAGGGGATAAGCAAATATATTTTGACTAAACATTTATTATGCTCTTTATGACCTTAAAACATCTGCAAGATTTCAGAGCATTCGGTTTTGTAGTTCCTGATTAAATCAATAAAATATATTTACGCATTCATTAATTTTTTTGAGTCACCCTGTATATGCAAATCCAAAAAATATGAATGGAGTGATAGATCACAAGTACAGACTCATCATATTTTGTACATTTTAGATATGATTTATTCCACAAACTTTTGAGCTGACGTCATCAAGTTTTTGGAGGGGATAAGCAAATATTTTTTGACTAAAGATTTATGATGCTCTTTATAGCCTTAAAACATCTGCAACATTTCAAAGCATTCTGGTTAGCAGATTAAAAATTAAATTTCAAAATGTTGTTTTATAATTTTGATTTTTTTTCCAAAAATCAGGACGTTTCGGGTGAAAAGTCGATTCAGAGTTGTAAACTACATGTGTAGGACTATGTTATTTTATACAATTGAAAACCCATTTACTATGTACAATTTTGAAGTGACGTCATCGCTTTAGTGGTGGGGATGATTCGACAAATTTTGGTTAGCGTTTTACCATCTACATGATATTCTTAATATAAGTACAAAATTTCACAACAATCGGTCGAGTACTTTCGGAGATTATCTGTCTAATAAAAATCCGTGACAACAGACGGACAGACGGACAGACGGACAGACGGACGGACAGACGGACAGACGGACAGACGGACAGACGGACAGACAGACGGAAATGGGAGACCTATTTCTTCGTCTTCTAGGGGTCATGAAAGATCGAGAAAACGTAAAAGTAGAGAGTCGGCCGACGGACTCGATTACAATACTTCCTTTGCTTACGCTCGGGAAGTAAAAATACAAAATTTAAGAAATCGAAAAATTAAAAATTTAAAAATTGCAAAAACTGAGAAATCGATATGTCGAGGAATCGAAAAATTGAAAAATCAAGAATTCGAGATTATCAAAAAAATCGAAAAATTGAAAATTGGAAAAGTCGAAACCCAAAACTGAACAAACCGCAGAAATTGAAAAATCGAAAAATTGAAGAATCAAAAAACTGAAAAAGTCCAAAACTGAATTGAGGGAAAATTGGGAAATCGAAAAATTGAAAAATCCAAAGTTAAAAAAATCGATAAATCAAAAAATTGAAGAATGGAAAATTCCGGAAATCGAGCAATCAAGAAATCGAAACATCAAAATCTGGATAAATCGAGAAATAGGAAATTGAAAAATTGAAAAATCTCAAATTTTAAAAACTGAAAAATTAAAATGTCGAAATTGAAAATTTTCCAAAATTGAAATGTCACATAAATGAAAAATCGAAAAGTAGAAAAATATAAAAAATTAAATATAAAAGATTAGAAAAATTGAAATCTCGATATAACGAGGAATTGAAAAATTGAAAAAACGAAAATTTGAAGAATTAGAAAACCGAAAAGTTGAGAAATTGAAAAAGTTCAAAACTGAAATGAGGGAAAATTGAGAAATCAAAAAATTGAAAAATTGAAATTTCTATTTAAAAACTGAAACATTGAAAAACCAAACATCAAAAAATCGAGAATGGGAAATTCGGGAAGTCGAAAAATCGAAAAATTCAGAAATCGAAATAATTTAAAATGGAAAAATCGTATGGCTAAAAATTGGTAAAACGAAAAATTGAAGAATCGAAATCTCCATAAATCGAGAAATGGAAAACTGAAAATTCGAAAAATGGAGAAATCGAAAAATTGAAAAATTGTGAAATTGAAGAATGGAAATATGGCAAAGCCACAAAACTGATAAATTGAAGAACTGGAAATTTGAAAAACTGAAAAATCGACAAATCTAAATATTAAAAAGTCAAAAATTTTAAAAATCGAATAATTGAAAAACCCAACAAGCGAAATCCAAAAAGTGGAAAAATCGAGTGATGGAGTAATCCAAACATCAAAAAATCGGTAAATTAAAATACGATATATAGAAATTGAAAAGTTTCCAAAATCGAAATGTCCCAAAAATGAGAAATCGAAAACTTGAAAATACCAAAAATTGAAAAGTCGAAAAGTCGAAAAATATAAAAAACGAATAAATCGAAACAACAAAAAATCGTAAAATCGAAAAATTGAAAAATCAAAAATTGTAAAGTTTAAAAAATCGAAAATTTGAAAATATAAAAATTTAAAAATTAGAAAAATTTGAGAAATCTATATATCGGCGAATTGAAAAATTGAAAAATCGAGAATTCAAAACATGAAAGAAATGGAAAAATTGAAAATTTGAAAAGTCGAAAAATCGCAAAACTGAGAAATCGAAAGCCGAAAATTGAAAAAATCGCAGAAATTGAAGAATAAAAATCTGAAAAATTGGGAAATTTAAAAAGTCCAAAACTGAAATGAGGGAAGATTGAAAAATCGAAAAATTGAAAAATCGAAACTTCGAAAAATTGGAAAATCGAAACACCGAAAAGTGGAAAAATCGAAACATCGAAATATTTTTAAAAACTGAAACATTGAAAAACGAAACATCAAAAATCGAGAAGTCGAAAAGTCGAAAAATCGAAAAATTCAGAAATCGAAATAAGTTAGAATGGAAAAATCCGATGGTTAAAAATTGGAAAATTAAAAAATTCAAAGTTAAAAAAATTGGTAAATCGAAAAATTGAAGAATCGAAATCTCCCTAAATCGAGAAATAGAAAACTGAAAAACTGGAAAT